AAATTCTTAACGTCAAATCGAAGTCAAGCTGTTGTAGCTCATCAAGTTGATCAAGGAGAAGCCGCGAAAATCAAGGAATAGTGGTGTATCTAGCAATTTTGCGAGCCCAAGTAAAAAAAAGAAGGGCGTGCTCGCGCATTGCATTTCGCATCCACGGCAAAATTTAAAATGTAGGCCTAAGACAAGCTGTTGAAGCTCATCAAGTTCATCCAGGAGAAGCCACGAAAATCAAGGAATTGCTAATTAGCTTGATTGAAGCAAGGCGCTAGAAAGGCAAATGAAAAATAGGTGGAAAAACACAAAGTGGTCCCCCCCCCCGCTAACAGTCCAGAACCGCATTTTCTCGAATTTTTGGCTAAAGTCAAGCGGTTGAAGCTCATCAAGCTGATCAAGGAGAAGCCCGAAAATCATGGAATAGTGGTTGAAATGGCAATTTTGCGAATTATGATACCAAGAAAAAAGGGCGATAAGTTAGTCGCTTGAAGCTCATCAAGTTGATCAAGGAGAAGGCACGAAAATCAAGGAAAGGACCGATTTCACAGACGCGCCGTCAATTATGACAAGCAAATTGGGGGATGGGTCCCGGGAAGAAACCAGCTCCCCTCGCTTCTCAGTTCCAAGCTGTTTGACCAAAGCCAACGAAGTCATGCACACCGCCCCCCAGATTGCTTCTCATTTATTTGATTAGGGGTCGAAACTGGGGGCGCGAAAACTGGCCTAGAAGCCAGCATAAGCAGGCTGACGAAACCGAGTAATTTCTGGATTTTTGAACGCGAGTTCAGGCCGGCTCGGCAGAAGTGGGTAAAGGTCGCTTAACGGGGGGGGGGTGGAAACAATTTTGATATTCATCAAAAATATCCTGCTATTTTGAAAACCCGATCGGATAGATCGAAAATTATACTAAGAGATTTAATTTCAGTCCAAAAAACCCATTCTTAACGATTTTTACTTGATTAAACTTTTCAGCTTAATAAAGTAGCAATTTAAAATGGTGGTATTTCGGGATGACTTTTTAAAACCCTTTTAGATTTGTAGTTGAAAGATAGTGATTTTTTTAACTAAAAAAACTGTTAAAACGATTTCCACTAAGTTACTAGATATTTCTGGACTGGGACAATAAAAAATTTCTCTCCCCCCGAGAATGCAAAAGAACCACAAATGCCTCAGTCATACTAAATAGACTTACTAACTCCTAGTCCTAAGAAAAAGACCCAGATTTGTTTAGAACATGTCCTAAATGATCTCTGCTAGCCTGCCCTTTTCTAAAGAATCTCTGCTAGCCTGCCCTTTTCTAAAGAATCTCTGCTAGCCTGCCCTTTCCTAAAGAATCTCTGCTAGCCTGCCCTTTCCTAAAGAATCTCTGCTAGCCTGCCCTTTCCTAAAGAATTTCTGCTAGACTGCTCTTTCCTAAAGAATCTCTGCTAGTCTGCCCTTTCCTTAGAAGTTAGCTAAAAAATCACTTAAATTTAAAAAATCAGCAAAACAACAAAATAAAAACTGGAAAGCGTTCCAATTAAAGCCCTGGAGGCGAATCGGCTTGATGTTGATGATGGATAGAGCGGATGGGGTGGAGTGGAAGCGATCGGAGAGGGGGCTTCTTCTGGATAAGTGCCCAAGGCAAATAGCCACAATCAACAGCATGCGGTTACGGGATATAATAGCCAGAATTCTCGCATGCACCCAAGAAAAGCAGCCTGGTTTCTTCCGGATAAAAATAAGCTTGCAGTAAATGGCCAAATTACACGCGAAAAACGTGCAGCGGAAGGGCGAGGCTATAAAACAAGAATTTTCCGCTAAATTTGGGTAATTAAAGGACCAGGGCAGCCTAGCAGAGATTCTTTAGGAAGGGCAGGCTAGCAGAGATTCTTTAGGAAGGGCAGGCTAGCAGAGATTCTTTAGAAAAAGGCAGGCTAGCAAAGATTCTTTAGGAAAGGGCATGCTAGCAGAGATCTTTAGGAAAAAATTCAAAAACGCTTTGACTGGATTTCTCTTATTTAATCTGGATTTTTACAAAAACTGAAAGCCATGAAAAGCCTAAAATTACCGTTACCCGGGCCTAATAAAAGCCGAAGAAATCACGGAAAGCCGAGTGGTCAATAAATCGTCCGGCAGTGACATTTTTGGCGAGGTGAAAACGGGAGTACGAGATGTGGGGGAGCACGAGGGTGAGGGAGGGTAGAGGAGGAGGAGGAGGAGGCCCACCTGGGCCCTAAGGAACAGTTGGCCACGGCTGCTGACCAGAGGGCCCGATCGGCCATATTGTCTCACATCTGGGCCATTCGAATTCGGGGGATGCGTATAAACTGGAATCGGCCACCCGTAGGGTTTTATATGATCCGGGTGCCGGGGGGTATTTTTTGGGTGAACTTGGGGATTTTACGGCGTAGGTAAGGCAGTCAGGGAAAAGCCACTGTCGTTTCCACTACCATACTAAAAGCAAAAATTCAGAAATATGACAAAAAATCATTGGAAATAAAATATTCAGCAGTAACAAGTTGAAAATACCAAATAACGGTTCTTGCGCAATATCGGGGGAGGGGGGTAACTTTGTTTTCTTAGGACCCAAATTTTCTAATATCAATAGGGGAGTGTTTCTAAACTGTTTTTTTATCTCTAAACGTAAAAACGTCACAAAATTTTATTAAAAGATACAAAAATACGATTTTTCGAATGTCCGTTTTTGACCAAATTTCGACTAAAAATTTTTTCGAAGCTTTGAAATGCGTCTTCTACTTGAACTATCGTGACATTTTACTGACAACACTTTTAAAATACCTACTATTACGATAATAGATCTTGCTGGGCTGATGGGAAAAAAATTGGTCCCCCCGATAATGCGAAAGAATTAGAACTCAAAACAGCAAACGTCCTGCGGCAAAGCGTAAAGACGTAAAACCCGTAAAAAAAGTTATTAGGCCTTCTCGAAATCACAAAAAAACATCCGGTTCTCCCCAATATTGCCCAAGCACCAGAATAACTAATTGAAAAACGGAATACCGTTTGACTTTCAACCACGCGACGCTCCAAACGACGTTTCAAGAATAAGAAAACGAATAAGAAAGATTAGTGTAAGAAAGTGTAAGAATACAAAATTCTAGGTGAGCATAAGAAGCTAAAAAAGTGAAAAAGAAATATGTGGAGTGCGTTGAGGGTGGTCGACCAGGGGCCTGATTGCGTAAAAAGTCGAGCCAACCAAGTGGCCAATGGGGGGGACCGGACAAAGACCGGACAGGGCACAGCACAGCAGACAAGACGACACACACGTTGGCCCACCAAGCAGGAAAGACTCAACGGATCAGAGGGTAGGACCAGAAGCAAAGCAGCCTGGCAAAGCAACGGCATGTCTCGCGCCCAAAAAGCGACGGCTAATAAGCCGCTATCAAAACAACCATGAACGCGTGAACATCTAGCAAAAGGCCTACCAAAAATTGGGAACTAGGCTCTTAGCGGGGGGCAGAGATCTCAGGAGTGGGAAAACCACCTTTTTAAATATTGAAAATCAAAAATTTGTACATTTTTTGGCCATTTTCATACATTTCCGACGAAAGAGCAAAATTTCCGAAAATTTTTATTGTTTGCCTATAACTAAAAACCGTTTAAAATGCCATAAAATTCAAGCTCATTATTAAATCACCCTAGCTGACTGTAACCGTTCTCTGGTCAACGTGGAAATTCGGTACCTGGGATAGCACATCTTGTGCAGAATTTTTCGCCGATTCCGAATCTGCTTTGAAAAAAAATTACAAGTGTTTTAGCACCCAAAATTCCACAAATTTCCTACTTTTAATTCTTCAAAAATTTCGTAAATACCGTTGGGGGAAAGTGCGTCATTTGCCAGAGTAAAAACACGTGCTCTTTCGAATGGGCCACCTCTCGAAATTAGGTATGAAACGAACGTACCAGTCCGCTCATCTTCGCCATCGTTTCCGGGACGTCGCTTGCGCGTCCGCATCCGGCGAATCCCCGGGAGTCGCCTGAAAATCAGAAAATTACAATAATTAGTCAACCGAACCCGATGAAATTACCGAAAACTGCCAAAAATTGGGTTTTATTATGCATTTTTAATATCACGAAATATATTTTATTACTCAGCCAGCTAAAAGCCAAAAAGACGCCTTTCCTAAAGCCTTAGGAACGCCCAAAAATCGACGTGCCGCATTGACCCAGTTTGCCCGCCAGCACCACCACTCGTCAATATTTGTTTTCCAGCGCACACCACTATGCCGCATACAAACGGGACAACAAAAGGCCGCGACACGCAACGCGACTCTGCCAGATTGCTGCCGATTGTGGTGCTGGAATGTTAGCGGGGGTGGGGGGATTTTTAGCAGATTACCACTTTCTGTTTTTTTCCACCTATTGATGATGTAAAATGTATTTAGTAGTTTTTGATTGCTAGAAAGTTATATCTAATACTTAGAAAATTTGAAAACTGTTTTTTTGTGATTTTTCACACCTTTTTGACCAAAACTCAACAATATTCGAACATTTTTCATATTTTTTATATTGTTTTGATATCTAACAACTATGTAAAATGTTATAAAAAAGGTTTATATTTTGTTACAGGGCCGTAGAGAATCACAGGGAAAAACCTGGTACCCCCCGCTAATAGTCCAGAACCAGCTTAGGCGTAGCGTAGCGCTTCAGAGGCTTAGATAAAAAAATCGGCAATCGGCACTTGTAATCGAAATCCGGTCTCTGCATAGCACCGAAAAAGCTTATCGGAATTTTCGACAACCGCTTCCACGTCATTTCCACAAAATCGAATAATCGTACGACGGTACAAATTTTTTTATTGATCGGAACGGGATCTCGCCGGGGAATACGATACGAATGAGATACGTGATGATGTAAGAAGAGAGAGTACAACCGGTAGAGCAAAGATCGCACAAAATAACAACAATTTGTCGGCAGTTAGAGGGAGAGCCAAGAAATAGACACGTGGGAAAGACGGACAACGGGCACGTAACAAATGGAAATAAAGGGGCGGAATGCCGCTATTGGAGTTTGGCCTGGATTGAGAGCAGCTTGGAGATGATGTTCTGCGGGAACTTGTAGTTGGTGCCCGCCGCCAGCACGACGATCGCTTGGGCTTGCCTGAAAATTTCCAGGTTTAATGGGGGCCACGAAAAAGGTACTGCTCTCTTTAACGGCGGTTTTAACTACTTACAAAATAAACAATGAATAAAGTTTTTACTAAAAATAAAACAATTATATTTGAACTAGAAAAACTAGCTAAAAACTTTCAAAAAGACTAAATGTTGGCCAAAAGTAGTAGTAAAAAGCCATTTAGAAACGTTTTCACTATTTATAATTAAAATCGTAAGAAAATCGTAAGATCCTAAGAAAAAAAAGTTGGTCCCCGATCATGCGAAAAAAACTAGAATTTTAGTAGTAACGAAACATCGAAAAAAGTAGAAAATATTTTATTAAAATTCAAAAAACAAGACGATCCGAACAAATTAAATTAATTTGATTAACTTTAAATTAAATTAAGCTTCAAATTGAACGAATGGAACAAATTAAATCCGTTTAAAGGGATGCCGACGGCATAGTCAATCGGTTACGCGCTGGAAAGAAATTGTCTCTGCGCCTCTCCCCTGGGCGCGCTCTCTGCCCTGTTGGCTACTTGCCAATTTGTTGATGGGGGGGGGGGGGATCGACACATGCCGTCGGCAGCCCTTTAAACATTAAAACGAGCGAACCTCTTGATGTCGCTTCGAGTGGCCGGTCGTGCTTCCGGGAACGCATCAGCCATGCACTGCATCACCGCCAGGCAAACGTCCGGCAAAACGGCACGAACCTAGAATGAAAAGTAACTAAAAATTGTCGACTCGACGCACCTGGGGCGCCATCAAATGCTCCTGGGCGGTGAACGCGTGCACGTTGATCTGGTCGGTGGGGATGAGGCGCGTCTCGCGAATCGTCTGAAATTGGGGTAAAATAACGGGAAAATAGATTGGGTAAAATCCCATAAAAATTATGCTTTTCCGTCGAGTTTTTTTCACATGTCGAGTAAATTATTTTGCGCTTTGTCCGAATTTAAATTAGAACCGGAAAGTGTTTTTGGTGAAATAGCTGCGAAAATTGACATGAGAAAACGAGCTAAAAAGCGTTTTCAAAACCCAATTCCACGCAAAAACTGGTCTGGAATATGCCAAAAAAAACCTCTAGAAAATTCTTACCAGCATCACTTCATCGTAAAGTTTGTGGCGACACCGGTCGAGCAGTCCGTGGATGTCGAGCAGCATCGTGAGGGTGCTCAGCGCCTTCGAGGAGGCGTTGATCGAATCTGAGAAATGGAGATTGCGAGTGTACGCGAACGAATTGCGAAAAAAAAATTTAATCCCGAAACACCATGGCAAAATTCTAAATCTTTCAGTATTTTTCGATACAAAAATTTGAAAAAGTTATTTTGCCGAATATAATTTCGGGAGAAGGAGTTTTCAGGATTGAGAATATAATTCTTGCAAAATGATCAGCAGTACTCACGCTTTGCCAAATCTTCGGCGGCCCGGAGAACGGGAATTCGATGGCTCTCGTCGTTCTGCGTGATCAGCTCGGAGAGACGCCGCGCCATCACCTCGATCGCCGGATCGTCTTGGCCACAGATGCGCAGCAGCTCGACGGCCTGGAAAAATTAAGTACAACCCGCCATTGAAAAAATAAACCTGATCAGGATTTCCGGACAATTCGGTGTCTTCGGCGACGCGGGTGATAATCGCGCGCACATCGACGTCATAGCTGAAAATTGGAATTATTAAATTTTTGAGTTTTTGCTAAGCTCAATAATACAGTAATAATCATAATGAATACCATATATAACATTTTGAGGCCAACGTAACTCATATAAGGCAAAAAAAAACTGTAATTTGGAAACTACCGTAACCTGGGAAAATGCCGATTTTTCGATATTTGTAAGGAAAGTCGGCAAAAAGCGGGGTTTCGAAGCTGCCGTAACCCAGATAAGGCAAAAAACGTAATTTGGAAACTACAGTAACTCCGGAAAAGGCCGATTTTTCGATAATTTTAAGGAAATTCGGCAAAAAGCGGGATTTCGAAGCTACCGTTACCCAAATAAGGCAAAAAACGTAATTTGGACACTGCCGTAACCACGGATAGTGCAGACAATGCAAATTTTTCACGAAAATCGGCCAAAAGCTGGCTTTCCAAGCTACCGTAACACAAATCAGGCTTTGGACACTACCGTATTCCCAGAGAATTCCGAAAAATAAAATAAAAATCTAAATAAATCAAGAAAATTCATATAAAACCCACTTGTCAATCAGAGCCTTGGATCGTTTTTGTCCCTGCAATTCGCCAATCACAGCCTGAAAAGTTCAAATAAGCACGTGTTTCTTAAAAAAGGATACCTTCACGTTTCCGGTCAAATAGAGCACACGTGAGACGGCCGACTCGAAAATGTCGCGTCCTTGGGCTGTTTTCTGGCCCTAAAAACGGGAAATAAATCAGCAAAACAAAATAAAATAAATAAAACATAAAACAAAATAAATCAGCAACTATTAAAAAACATCAATAAGTAATGTACCTTTAGTAAGTAGAAATAATCGAGCGTCGTCTCCACGTCTTCCATCTCGAATCCTTTCGTATAGCTGACGAGCAGACGGGCCAGCGACACCGTGGCCGCCACCGATTTGCCGTCCGGGTTGGTGTTGACTAAAAAAAGGAAATAAATTACTTATGATGCACGCGATAAAAAACGAAGCGCCAAAAACGTACGCAGCTTGATGTTTTGCATCTCGACGGCCGGGTCGGTCAACTTCAGCAAGCCGTTCTCGTAGGCCAAGATGGCCATGTGCACCGCATCGCTCACGTGGCCGGTCTAAAAATAGAGGTAAGAGTAGAATAAATACCAATAAATTACATAACTAAAAATAAATCGGTTCTTTGGCATTATCGGGGGAAGCAACTTTTTTTCCTTAAGATCTCAATTTTCAAACATAAATCGCGGAGGTTGTTTCTAAACTGTTTTTTTTACAATTCTTAGACGTAAAACTTTACAAAGTACTCTCAAAAACACAAAAAATATAGCTATTTCGAGCAAAAATTGCCGGTTTTGAGCAAAATCTAACTTTTTTAAACTTTCTAATGAGTTAGATTGTTTTTCTAGACCAAATACAGTCATATTTTATAAAAAAACACAAATAAAATACTTTCTATTTAGCTGCTAGACATTTCTAGATATATTTGATAGATTGAAAATCCCCCCCCCCCCCCCCCCCGATGATGCAAAAGGTCCAATAAATACAATCGAAATACCTCAACCAGCAAATCGACGGCGCGTTCGAATTGGCCGCTGAGCGTGAGGGCCAGGAAATAGATGTGCGCGTCGCGAAAACCGTTGGCCATGAAGTAGCTGACGCCTAAATTTTGAAAATCATGAAAATAGGTAGCCGCGCGGCCTAAAAAAATACGAGTAAACTAAATTCCACACCTCAGACACGAGAAAACGAACCGTAATCGATGGAAATGGTCTTCTGCAGGTCCACGTAGAGGGCCCGGGTGATGTGGGGGTCGAGTCGCAGCGGGATCAGCTTGAACCACAGCCAATTCTCCATCGTGTCGGCGATCGGGGATTCGACGCCGAGCAGCGCGCTGTATAGGCCCCTAAAAGAATCATCTAGGAAAGCTGAATAAAATTGGATATTTTCCTCTTCACGACTTTTCTCTTGACTTAAACTATCTAAAGATATCCATCCAAAGCAAAATTATCGAGTTCGTTATGTACGTTTCGGCAAGTAGAAATTCGGCGAGATGAAGATTCGGTTCTGGACTGTTCGCGGGGGACAAGAGAAAACACTTTTTTTCGTATTTTACATAGCTTTTAGGTATAGAAAATCATAAAAAAAACGCAAATGTTTGACTTTTTGGCCAAAAAGTATAAAAACATGGCTAAAAACTTTGAAAAAACCTTTTTCTAACAACTTTCTAGCAATTAAAAACCCTATAAAATACATTATATATCGTCGACAGAAAACGGCGAAACGGTGGGAAAACGAAAAATTGGTTCCTCCCCCTCCCCCGATAACAGCCCAGCACCGAAATTTCGATCAGATAGATAAAATCGGCGGCAAATCCAGCAAACGCACTTCCTGTAGAGATCCCGGATGGAGTGCTGCTCGTGACGCCATTCGACCTTCAATTTCTCCTTCAGCTCCTCCGTCAGCCTGAAAAAAATACAAATATACCTCCGAAAAAACCGTCCAACCTCGAGTTATCTTTCAAATAGACGAGGCACTTGTAGAGCATGTTGGTGCGTTGGTTGACGGCGACAAGCTACAAAAAAAATTGGATTTAAAGGTTCTTTAGGATTCGCGGGGAGGGGGGGGGGAATCCCGGGGGCGAATCAATTTTTTTATAAATAGTGGATGTGTTTCGACATTGTATTGAACTATTGCTAAGCCTAAAAACGTTACAATTTTTGAGTTAAAATTTAATTTTAGGTCGAAAAATAGATTTTTTTTCGACCCAAAATGACCAAAATTTCGGATTTTGCAAACGTTTTTGAAAGTTTTTCTATTTCAAATCTAGTTAAAACGTACTAAAACAATTTTTTAAAAATTCTTGAAAAAATCGGTTCCCTCGCGAAGCCTAAGGACAGATTTGAACGACAATAACCTACATTCAACGCATCGGAGGCAGCCGACAGTTCGCCGCAGCGCATACACGTGTAGATGACCTGCCAGGCGGGGCATCCGTCGCCCAGGCAGCCGTCCTCGATCTCGCTCGCAATGTCGGAGCACGCCTGGAAAATAAACAGATTTTTAAAAAGGACATTCAATTTCAATGCAAAAAATGAGTTTTGGAAAAGAACAGAAAAACGAAATCAAGATAAACTGACGTTGATATAACCGGCTACAAGGGTGCGCGTTCCGGGTATTCCTCCTCGGCGGGCCGCCTCCAGGTTGTTTTGGACGCAGCGCTGCATGTGGTCGATGAAACTAAAAATGGAACTATAATTTATATTATTAGAAAATTTCTTTTTCTTCTTTTCCTCGTCTCCTTAAAAATGCCCCAAGTTTAATTAAATTTATTTTGAAGTATTAATAAATGAAAGTTCGTATAATTATATAAGTAAATATTACATGAAATTGGGGTGTGATAAGTACGAATTAGTACTACTACTTCAATTTGCAGTAATAAAGCCACTAATTCATCTGTTTCGAGCAAAATTAGCCAGAATTTTTTGGGATTTCGTCATGAAACAACGTGATTCAATAAATTTGGCTGCATCCGGTTTATTTAGCAAATTACGAAGGGTTGATTACGTTGCCAAGTAAACGAAAAACTTATTAAATTCTTTCAGAAAACACACCTTTTGTGCAAATAATCGGTGGCCCGTTGCACGAGCTCGACGGACGTTTCGACGGCGTCGATGTCGTTGTTGCAGCGCTTGCCTGCCATCGACGTGAATTGTGCCCACATGTCGACGGTGATGTCCTCGCTGTCCGATTCTTTCACGGCATCTTTCAGCAATTGAGCGAGATCCTAGAAAATAAAGTTAAATAAGACAACAAAAAGGTTACCGCTCGCTTTCCGGCACGCAAGTATTTGCGCAATTTGTCGGCGAATATGGCGAGTCGGCGATCGCCCAGCCTTGGTCCCGTGACTGGGCGGTTGACGTTGCGGTTTGGCGTGTCGTTGATTCCACTTCCGAATGTCTGAAATTAAAAAAATATAGAAAATCAAAGCTTGAGAATATGGTAGTTGCCGATTTCCGTTCATTTCGCCGATTTTCTATTAGCCGTTTTTGAGCTAAAATAACAACACTTTATTCGAAAAACTGCATCTGAGCCCCTTAAATTTTTATCTTACTTGCTTGTGATATTCCTTGGCTCAAAAGTGCTTTACGATAAAAAGCGTTTTTATTTTGACCCAAAATTCGGCGAAATGACCGTCGGCGAAGTGAAAAATCACCGAAATGAACGCACGCCGATAGTTGCCGACTTTTAGCCAGTTTGAAGAAAAGACAGCAAATAAGGAATCAAAACACACCGAGTTTAGTCGAATCCCATGCACGGAAGGATGAGGACGATTGAGCAACACTTGATTGAAGAAGGCGCGCTCGGCTTCGAGACGGACACGTTCAGCCAGCTCGTCTACCACTTCGTCATCTAAAAAAAGAATTTTCGTACTAAGATATTGAAACCTACCTTGCGGCGTTGAGGCTGGAATGTTGATCGGTGCGCGTTGAGTCAATTTTGGGGCGCCCGCGAAGACGATGCCGTGCTTGCCGAAAAGGAAACGATTCTAAAATTAAAAAGGCGATTTAAACGAAAACAAACCAAACAGTACCTTATCCGAGGGCTCGTCCGTCCGCCGCTTCACCAAATTCTCGCTGGCGCGGAAGATCTCGGTCAAGTTGACGCCCATCTGGTGGTCGACGGTGTAAGCGGGTTGCCCCTGGAACAAAAATAATGCAAATATATTTTTAAAGCGTTACCGAAGAGGCGTCTGCCGACTTGGTGGCGCTGAAGAAGCGGCTGGTGAACGAATTCGTGGCCGAGAGGCGATCGGCGCGATCCAGCAAATCACTGAACATCGGCTTCATCTTGGCGCCGAGCTAAATCAGGGAATGTATGAAGGTTTGGAGACAAGCTAAGAAAAAAGACGAAAAATCTGTTTGATAAAGAACGGAAATCCCATTTTTTTGGCGCATTTTGCTATTTAGTTATAGAAATAAATAGGAAATAGAGAAAGTTATAATGTAGTTCGCATGAATGGTAGTTTCCGATGATGATGTATCCTATCAAAAGAATGAAAATTCTATTCGTATCACAGACAAAAAGAGCGCCTTCTCTGAGAATTTCACTTTCCTGAGAATTCGCGGGGAGTAACTTTTTTTCTACGGGTCCCGGCTGGCCTAGTAATCAAATAAAAAGCTGGTATTAAGTTTTTATTAAGTTTTGACTATATTCAGAGCATAAAAATTTTCAAAAAAAGTTATAGAAATGTTTTAATGCATCGGAATTTGGTCATTGGGTTCGAAAAGATTGATTTTTCGACATAAAATTAGTTTTTCGTTTAAATTTCTAGTTTTGATGTTCAACATAGCTAGAAATAGTGGGCAAATGAATCCAAAATGATCTAAAAACTTCATCTAACTTTTTCCATCAGATAGAAAGCCAGAAAACGACACGAATACCCAGCAGCAAGCGCCAACTTTTTTCAGAAATGTTTATTGTCAATCCGGAAACAAAAATAGACGCAATGTACTTATCACATTGACAGAAATCGAGCAAGGTGAGAATAGGTGGAGGGGGAGAGGGGCGATAGAGAGGGGAGGGGATAATTTGAATGTGAGGGAATGGGCCGACGAGGGCAATTTGTCAAGTGTAAAATACAGAGCACCGACTATACTAAATAAATGTACACATCAGGTGGGTTGAGGATTTTGGGGTAATCGGGGCGGAAAGGGCAGCAGGACACTCGTAGACATTATTTCGTGATAGTGGCATCAATGTTGGGAATAGGAGTGAAAGAAGACGTCGAACGTGGTGGAATCTCCCGGGGGACGGGTCCCCAATCCTACACACGTCTGCCCCGGTCCCGCTATTGCGCGCCCCAGGCATACGGTACCCCCGCCCCACCCCCACTCCCCAGTGCCCTTTCAAACTGTTTTAACTTATTTATACAACCTTGGGGAGGTTATTAACAGATTTTTAAAACTAAAATGTTAAAGTTCCTGAGGAGAACTATATTTTGACGACTTTTAGGAGGTAGTGTCTCGAATAGGAAAAAAGTGCTCAATTTAGAAAAATTGTCGCTGTTAGCCTTGAATTTTGTCAGTACTGGTTTCGGACGGAGGTGATGTTTTGATTTTGGGTTTAGGAAACATTTGACGGTGTTGCTGATGCTTTCTGCCACTAGAAGCACGTGTTTTTAGCATTTCAAGATTTATAGTAGGCGGTTCTGCTTACGTGATCAATATAGTTTTGAAAATCGGCACCAGGCGGTGCAAAGCTAGGTTGCTTCGTAAAAGATTCTGCTTTTGAAAAGGGTTGCTTGATCGTGACAACAATGAAGAATTGATCAACTGACGTCACATCCCCTCAAAGTATAACTTATGATCCCGAGAAGCGGTCAACGGGAGACATTTGTTAACAGAAAACCATGGAAAACAATATGTTAACAAATTTAGGAACTTCCGATTAAAAGTTTCCTTGGTTTAGCCAACAAAAAGTTGTTCTTATTATGAACCTAGCAGCACTAAACCTATCACCACTGTGTTTTCGTTCAAAAAGTCATTGTTTTCAAAAAAAAAGTTATTAAACGACAGTTCTCCTCAGGAACTTTAACATTTTAGTTTTAAAAATCTATTAAAAACCTCCCCAGGGTTGTATAAATAAGTTAAAACAGTTTGAAAGGGCACTGGGGAGTGGGGGTGGGGCGGGGGTACCGTATGCCTGGGGGCGCGCAATAGCGGGACCGGGGCAGACGTGTGTAGGATTGGGGACCCGTCCCGGGGGCGTGATGCTTGAAGGGCGTCAAAAAATCCCTTTCGAAGCCTGGAAAAGTGTCCGATTTTCATGATTTAGGTATCAACCGAAAGCTCTCGACGAGACGATGATTATGTGCTTACGAGTTTTTGAAATTTTGGAGTTTAGAAAAAATCAAGATAGCTTTCAAAAAGCAACGAAAACGGTTCTTCTAAAAAAACCCTATTTCAATGCCTGCCAGACGGGTGTTTTCTTCAAAAAGGCAACGATGCCAGAAAACACTGCAAAATTTGGAAACTACTTTCGATTTAGAACTTCCGGGTTTTCGAAATTTTGCAATTTTTAAAATTTTCGATAGTTTTGAAACAAAGCAAAACAGGTTCTTCAAAAAAACCCTATCTGAATGCCAGCCAGCCGCTTTTCTAGAAAAACTGGCCTAGAGACGCCAGAAAATGTACAAACTATAGAAATTTCAAAGAAAAAAAGCTATTAGATTTAGAAAAGAATTTTTTTAAAGGACCGTTTCATCAAAAAACATCTGAATTTAGCCAACTTCGCAAAAAAATTTCGTAAAGCCCAAACAACTGAAAATCTCAAATTAGCGGAAATACACATCATCGCCTTATCGATCAGCAGCTTGAATTTGATACCTAAAACGTACAAAATTGGACATTTTCCAGGCAGCTACAGGGGGAATCTGGGGGCACCTCCTACTGGCAATCTCTCCGTTACAAATCTTTGTAGTATACTCATCCATCAGCCGTCGCGGGGGGTGGGCGATATCCGTATTATGCACATAATAATCTCGTTACAAAAACAACAGATGTATATATAGCAAATACAATATATAGAATTTGAGAAACACGATGGGCATAGAGAGACGAAATGAAATGAATCGTTGGGAAGATTTGGGCGATGCTGGGGTGAAGCGGGGAATGTTCTTTGGGGGTCTCGCGCGCCGACAATTGCACACTGTCAGTAAAGTCAATCGTACCAGAAAATTTCAGGGGAGGTTGGTTTCGAACGAGAAAAGGTGCTGGACTGTTAGCGGGGGGGGGAGGGGGGGTTTCCCAGTAATCCCGTACGGCCTTATAACGAAATATAAACTTTTTTATAGCGTTTATCATAGTTTTTAGATCGAAAAGGTTATAAAAAATAAAATTTTTCCAAAAATCTTGAATTTTTGGCCAAAAATGTAAGAAAAATGACAAAAAAAAATCAATTTTCGAGCTTTAAAAATTTTCAAGATTATTTTTATAACTTTGAGCAATAAAAAAACTACTAAAAAGTATAAAAATACCTTATATATTATCATGATGGGTGGAAAGATAAAAACTGGTTTTTCGCCTGCTAAAACCCTCCACCCTCCCCCGCTAACAGTCCAGTACCAAAAAAACCGAGGTGGAATGGGGGAAATGGGTTATTTGGGGGAAAACAAATTTGTTAAAAGTGGGGGGAAGATACCTTAACGCGGCCCGGAATCAATACTGTTTCTTCGCGTCCAAAGCTCGTCCGTCCATCGATATGTTGGGCTGCTTGGCGGGGTCGAGATGTGGACGTACTACGCGGTCCGGGCCGACTCGCTGGCCCGCGTGTGGTTGGTGGTGCTGAAAAATGATTTTTTTTTTATATATAATAAAATGCAAAAACCCGACAATGAGGGGTAGACGGTGAAAAAGCCGAGGTTTCACCTAGATTTATAGCTTCTTTCGCAAGATCGTGGAGGGAGGATTTAGCTATCTTTCAAGCCGATAGAGTACGTAGAAGCTATACGCAGAAGAAAAAACAATTATAAACTTTTAAAACGATAAATTTGGTCTGAAAAACGAGATTTTAGCATTTTTCAACTAAAAATTATACTATTTTGACGCTTCGGAAGATCACAAAAACGTCTCGCCTAGTTTTATTACGTTATTTGTAATGGCGGATTCAATTCCAGGAAACCCCCCCGATAATGCGAAAGATCCGTTTTACGTAGAGGGCTCGCGGGAGTTGAAACGACGACACGAATTTCACTAATTATCGATTTTTTAGACCTAAACCGAAGCCTTGTTTTGTAATAAACTAGCTTAATTTTCTGATGACTAGACGAACAGAGGGAAAAATTCATGATAACGTCGTAATTCTTACAGACTACTTTCTCATCGGTAACAGATACAATTCACTGAATGTTTGCCGCTCGGCCGTGATAAAGCCACTTTGGTAACTCGTCTCAGCGTCACCGACGGCCTCTCTAAAAGACACCAACTGCCGCCTACTTCCCGAAAAAACGCCGAAAAACTCCTCTATATTACCTATTTTGTTGGATGGTCTGCGTGGTGGCCGGCTGCTTGCCCGCTTCAGTCTCGATGAATTGACGCAGACGGTCGAGGTAGGCGCCGTGCAGCTCGACGTCGTTGTGTCCAGCACCGGCAACCTGGAAATAATTTTATCCACAAGATATTATACGTTGTTCTGCTGTTTTTAGTAAAACGTAACTAGATTTCAAGCGAAAAATACTTAAGACATCTGAAACCTTGTTTCAAAATTGAAGTTAGGTAGTTAGGCTTCCCGATCAAAATTATAGTTTTCCGGGTTCTGAACTGTTAGCGGGGGGACCGATTTTTTTTACCCCTGCCGATGAATGATATATTTTTTATCATATTTTTGGTAGTTTTCGATTGCAAAAAATTTGCAACATCATAATTTTCAAAATTTTTGAAAATTCGAAAAGGTTGGCCGTTTTTGGCCATTTTTCATACATTTTTTAATTTTTCAGATTTAAAAACCTGGTAAAATGCTACAAAAATGGTTTATATTTCGTTATGGGGCCGTGAGCATTACTTGGAAAAATTTCGTTGCCCGCCAACAGTCCAGAACCGACCTCCGTTTAGGAATAGCAAAAAAAAAACAATGTAGAAACACTTTCTCTGATCCAGAAAACTTCAGTATTAAAGAAAAAAGCTCCCTTGTAAATACGAAAGCACCTTTCGTCTAAAAAACGTACCCAAAGCGGCTCGACCGACGCCGGGCATCGCTCGTACATGGAGACGCCGTGCGAGAAGTCGATCACCTATAAAAATGATATGCGCAAAAAATCGGCGTCTCACCTCATCGTCGGTGCCGTGGATGACCAATGTGGGGCACGTGACGCGCGGTACTTTTTCTATAGAGAAAATAATTATCTGGATAAAACACAGCCCAACCAATGGAAGGGAATGCATCGCAGCACCACGTCCGCTGCGTGCCGGGGAACGCCACTCGCATGCCGGACATCAGCGGGGAGTGCAGAATCTGAAAAACAACTTTATAACAATAGCGTATCTTAATTTAATTAATGAATTTGAATGGGTTATACAACGCAATAATTGCAAAAATGACCATACTTTTAAAATAAAAAAATGACAAATGGTGCTAAACTTTAAAGAATTTTTTCATGAATGTATTGCTATTATAACGTACTATAACGCTAAAATGTGGCAATTTAAAAAAATTCAACTAACCAATGCAGCGACATTCGGATGTTTCGAGGCCAAATCGACGGATGGGACGGTGCCGATGCTCTGGCCGTAGAGGATGATCCTCTCCGCGGGTACGCCGAATCTGGAAAAAGGCAAATTTTATGTTTTGCGAAAACTTTGGGGCTGAATGAGTACGAAATGTTCGAATAGCATTTTTATAACTCTAACCGTGTTTCGGGTCGAAACCTATCTAAAAAAACTTTGAAAAAAGTAGAATTTTCTACATTAAGCGCGAAAACCTATTTTATGCGCTTGCCCACTAAAAACTGTGTTTTTAAAGTTTAGATCAGCTGGAAACCTTTTTTATTTTCCGATCGAAATGTGACAAAAAGCGTTTTTATAACTTTAACGGTGTTTAAGTCACAACCTCAAAAAAAAAGCAAGATGAAACATCGAAAAAATCTATACTTTATGCGGTTCCCTAAAAAGTGATACGTTTAGATCGACTACAATAACGTTTTTCTATTTTCTTATCGAAAAACGCTATTAAAACTACAATACCTTGACTGCAAAGCCTCATATGCCGCCTGGATGTCGGCGTACAAGTTCTTCTCGCTCGGCTTGCCCGTGGAACAGCCGTAGCCTGGAAAGAAATTCATTTTTTGAGATCGGAAACAAAATCTCACCCGAATAATCGTAGCTGAACACATTGACGCCGATCCGGTAGCCGAGCCCGTAGTAGAAGCTGCTCATCTGCCCCAGGTCGACGGCGTTGCCATGCGAGAAGAGCAGCGTGTACTTGGCCTGATTGCCGCACGGCCGGACGTAGATGCACGCGATCTTGTTTCTGCGCCTCGTCCTTGTTGTAAACATCTAAAAAATTGTTTTTAAGTGAAAAGTCCAAATTCGAAATTTGGAGGAGAAAAAAACATACCTCAACCAATTTCAGCTCCTCCTGCTCGTGCGGCCAGTCGGCTCGCCCCTCGATGAGGCTCATTCTAGAAAAAAATAATTAAAATCTATGTAGAAAAGGATAATTTAAATTTAGAAAAACTAAAGGTTTAGTACCAAAAAATCTAAAAATCTCACTTGCAGTCATCGGTGATCGAATAGCACGGCTCGGGCGGCATGAAAGCCAGCTTGCTGACGATGCTGGACGGGAAGGGAGGGCAGCAAAACAGGCAGCACAGGTCGCGGAACGACACCTGAAAAGGAAAAGGTCGTAAATCCAACGAAAAGTGCTTTTAATTAATAATTTCAAATTTCATTTTCAAAAAAAAACCCCCGGCACTCTGCCCGATTGGAAAGTGAGCCCACCGACTTGCCCTGGTCGGATTAGGCCGGCTCCAAAAATTGTTTACACCCCAAGGCTAGCCGGGAAATCAGAAAACACACTCGCAAAAATAAACGAAGAACAAGCGTTTTTTGGCACGATTTTTGACGCTATGACTGTTTAGCGGATCCACCTTGATAGCCAGATTTTCGCCTGTTTCTAGAGTAGCTTTGCGCGGGCTCGAATTTTTATACTGAAATGAACCTGGAACGCTATTTTTTTTTGAGCGCAACGTGTTAAACTACCCTATTTTCGGTGAAAAAATCAAGTGGGTCCGGTTTTTTTTGCTTTTAAAGACCCTTTAAAGCTTACCCGGCCGGCTGGCTGAGGCTGTGGCGCTTGCATCGGTTCCCCAACCGGCGTCGACGAGTTGGATGCCGCTGCTGAAGAGGACATCCTGCAAAAATGCGCAATTATCATCAACTTGGAGCCACAGTTGGAGAGAAAAGCGGGAAAGAAGACACGAAGAAACATGTGGGGGTTTTAAAAAGACTCAATCCGGATTGGATTTTAGCCCTGTAAAAGCTCCTGGAAAAGAAAAACTCGCGAAAACTTTGTAAAATCTCGTTTTGCTCAAATTTCGCAAGTGAATTTGAAGTTTTTTAAGGCACTTTCCAAAATCAGTAAAAAAAATTTCGAATGACCGAACGGAAAGGCCGAAAGAAGACAACTACTCTTCTGCCGAATGTTTGCTCAAGCGATTAACGGAAGCAAAAGGAGGGCCGATCATGCCAATCATTAGTGAAAGTCTATGAGAAAATGAGAGTGATTGCAGGTTGTAGAGGAAAAATGGAAAGTTTTAAAGCTTCTTGTAAAGATATTCGGATTCGGAAAAAGGGCCTTGTTTTGATGAGTCAAGACGTCAGCAAAGCATGACAAAAAAGGAGAACAAAAACGTTTCTGGTTGGTTTTCACAAAGTACGAGATGAATGAGCGGATTTAAAACCTGCTAAACCGACCGGTTCGAGTCAATTTCGAGCTTTAGCAAGGTTAAAGCCGGAAAATGGAGCCAGAGTTTCATCAAAATCATGTTAATAATAGCTAATATCTTGGTTCTAAAGCTCCAGGCTTCTAGACTAGAATACTGGACGGGATGAATGTGTTCTAAAAAGCTGCTAAAGCTAGTGGTTGAGCTCAGTCCAGCCATTTATGAGTGCCAACGCTCTAAAAATAGACCTAGACTTTTACAAGAATGAGTTATTAATTGCCAATAATCATGAATATATAGGTTATAACGATTCCCTAGCAAGGATGGAGCTCAAAAGCTGCACAAAAGCCACTAAATCAAGCGACCTGGCTCAAACGAGACATTTCTCAGCCTCAAAGACGTAGAAATGTACCGAGACATTGCCATAACGAAGTCAATAAAGCCGTAGATTACAGAATGTTTCTGCCAAAACCCGCTCCGAGCAGACAGATACTAAAACTTGGCTAACGAATCTCATCCCGGGGCCGGATGCGGGAAACTTTGGCGAGATTATTGGCTCAATTACTTGGGCCGGCCCACCTCCCGGTCCGCCCAAGGTTGTGCCAAGGTTCTTCCCAGCTTCTCCCGCACTATACAAGCCCCATAATGGGCCGGAAATAGGGGGAAAGTTTGCGGAAAAGCCGGGCGAAGCCCTGTTTGGCCTGCCCGGAGGCGGCATTTACGTAGGCGGCAGGCCGCACATCGATAGGCAGTACAGGGCATGGCGTATGGGTGTGTGGTGTAGTCGGTCGGAATGATGGCAACCGGGGCAGGGGGGCCCAGCTGGGCCAACATAACATTCGCGTGGCCAAACGTGGGAATTGGCACGAGGGTGGGATGTTGTAAGAAAAATGTGGGCACAAGAGAACGGGCAGAGTTTATTGATAGCTTAAAAAAGTGAAAACATCCGCGGTAAGAATAACGGGGCCAAACCTACTTTTTCTTATGTGTCCAGGGATTCCGAATAACTTAATAGTAAGTATTTTAACAGCGTTTTAAGTACAATGTACCTATTTTTCAAGCACAAACACAATAACAAAATTGGAAAATTTTCTAATTGCATTTCTACCCGAATAAACCTATAAAAAAATAAAAAATCTAAGAGATAGAGAATAAAAGAGGAAATAGCTAAAAGACAAAAAAAACGAGGAACAGGGCGCATGGAGTTCCGGCGTTCAAAGGATTTATGTGTAGTTTACGCACCTGCGACGCGCAACGCGTTGCACCTTTTTAAAGGGGCTGGCAAGGCAAAACCGTGGTGTTTCGTCTGTGTCGCGCTTGTGAAACGTGACGCATACGTTCGCGATACGGCTGCGTAATCAGTTACGCCTCGTCCAAGGTGTCGATAGGCGCATGCGTTGCGTGTCGCGGCGCGAGAACTCAGGCTTCAACTTGCAAAAAGTGCTCCAAAACTTCAAACGTCAGCGATTTGCACGTCATCAGGGAGCGATGATGATCGGGTGTATCGGAGGTGTCAAGGTGCGCGTCACTCCCCCCGAGATGCATTTACCCACCCCACACGCACACTTTTTCCACGATTTCTCACGCTTCAAAATGCGTGCATTTTTTGTAGTTTTTGAGAGATCATCTCCATAATGGGATTCACGACGGATTTTTGAGATTTCGGAAATTCATCGAAAATTCCGGCTTCGAGCTTGTCGTTTCTTGCTTTTAAGACGAATAATTCCTAGTAATAAAATAGCGGCTATTTCATGGTGTTTTTAGTAGGTTTTGACTGCTAAAAATTCAAAGAAAGCTTTCAGAAAATCCTAAAAAAAGAGTAATTTTTGATCTTTTTTAGGTCGTTCCTCATGTATTTGATCTTTGAAAGATTGTTTTAGGCTAAAAAATGGCATTGAATATTAAACAAAAATGTTGTAGTGCTAATTTTAAAAATTACATAGAAATAACAGTAAATAAAATCATAGTAAGTCCTCGAAATTTGAAGGTTTTGACCCTTTTTGGAAGCTTTTTAGGCATATTCAATCAAATTTCAATTTTAAAATGCTGTTTTTTTACTTAAAAAAAGAGCAAAAAATATCAGAAAAATAGTTTATAGTTTTTCTTCTACTACGTAATTTGAAAACGAAACTTTCCCGCACTAAATCTCAGGTGTTAGGGCCCAACTTGGGGCCCACGTCTGTAGGGCCAGCCACTTCCCGCTGGGATGGCTACAATGGCCGGTCTTTCTTGCCGGCTGCTTCTTCCCGATACCAAACAGACCGTTTTCACGCCCCTCTTCCCCCCATTTCCTTTCACCCCCCACCTAAACAACAGCCCGGTTTTGGCCATCACGCGAGAAGACAAATGACCACGTGTTTTTATACGATTTGTACCGTAATAATGCCGAATTTCATAATGACGTATTTTCATAATGCCGAATTTTATGGCGTAATTTCATAACGCCGAATTTTCGAGCGTAATTTTCATATTGCCGAACTTTTTAGCATAATTTGATAATGCCGAATTTATAGGACGCGGAATCTGTCGAACGCCGAATTTTCATAAGCCAAGTTTTCGTATAAAAAACTATATTTTTTTACATAGCGATTGTTACTTAAAATTTATTCTGAACTAAAATCGTACCGTATCGAACAGCGATTAACAGTTTACTAGTCAAAACTTTAAACCGAATATGGCCTTATCACATTAGGCCTTATGAAAATTCGGCGTTATGAAATTCGGCCAGGCCTGAATCGAAATATTCCGACCCCGCTTTTTCAATTAATTTTTTGGCGCAATAATATTTCTGTTGCGAGGGGCGTTATGTTATTGTTCTTTCGTCCGGTCACTTTTTTTTGCGGCCGGCCAGCAGCCCCCGCCCATCAAATAAACATTTTGCTGTACTGCGGACAGGCGGGCCGCGGAATTTTATTGCCAGCAGAATTTACTACAGCCGATTTTCTTTGATATTTTTAGGAAGGGTTACTCGTTTGGAACTCGGTTATCTTATTTTCCTGAACTTTCTGGTCATCGATCTCCTAGGTATTTTGCCGCGCTCGTGCAGGGTTCTTTGGTATTAACGGGGGGGTTGTTCTTATTGTTAGAATACAGTTATTTAAATATAAATAGCGCAAGGGTTCCTAAACTGTTTTTTACTATTCCTAAACATAAAAACGTAAATCGCTACAAACAATACAAAAAAATTGTGATTTTCCACCAAAAATGGCAGTTTTTTGACCAAAATGTCAAATTTTTAAACATTTTTCGAAGCTTATAGCTAAGTTTTCTGGCTAAAATCTACTTATATTCTACTAAAAACATTATTTTAATACTTGCTATAAAGTTATTAGGCTTATTGTTATTATTATTGTTAGTTATTATTATTATTTTATTTTTGCCCCCCCGATAACGCAAAAGGACCGGCACAGCAAGCCATAGCAATGCCTTTTCCGATCCTTTAAAAGAACCATCCCAACCCAATTTTGATGATGTCCGCAGAGCTTTAGAGCAGCTAAAGCCTGTACCCCAGCATCAGATAAGAGGCTGGTATAGCCTCGCCGGGGGGCGAAGGGTCCGGATTGGTGTGCTTTCATGAGGGTTGCTCTGTGTCTTTCCCCCTTACATCGTCTGTTTATGTTTGCCTAAATGGTGTCTCTTTAAGGGGGGTAAGAAGGGGCTAGGGAAGAGAGAGAGAGAGAGAGAGAGAGAGAGAGAGAGAGAAGGAGACGTCTCTCCAGCTGCCCCCGATTTTACATGCCAGATAGCCCGTTGGACAGCCGCGAACCGGAAACATAATGTTCCGGGCGGATTTTAGGGTGTGTGCTTCAAATTTGGGGTTTTCTTGTTTTTGCTGAATTTTTCGAGGACTATTGCTCCGGAGCGGCTGAAATTTCTCACAAGCTTTTAAACGCCGTTTTTAAAACTCCAAGCCTCAGGAAAAACGAAGCCAAGCCTACGCCTAGGATTAGCTTGCTGCAAACGAAGCCGAAGCTTAACCTAAGCCAAGCGAAGCTTAGCGCCAAGCCAAGCCGTAAATGACCCCATGTTTACCTCATAAGCCAATTCCGGCTTACGAAAAGCTAGGTGGGGTTTAAGCCTAGGCCTAAGCCTAAGCTAAGCATAGTTAAAGCTAAGTTAAGCCTGGTTTAAGCTAAAAAGCCAAGTAGCTTAACCTCAATCCATTAATTTCGGATACATAAATATAAATAAAAAATAAATACATAAATCGTGCAGGACCTTTGTTTTTGTTTCTGCACTATTCTCGCTGTATGCATTGTTTGTTCTCTCGGCGCCGAGATAAGCGCCGGATGGGGGAGGGGAAGGGACGAGTCAATTAATTCTCACTTTCTTCTGATCTTATCTCCGCCCAAATCTAGCACGCGTCGACGGTTCCGAAAGCCGTTCCTCCCCCGATCGGCCCAAATTTGGTTCAAGATTTTTGAATCTTTAGGGAATTAGAGAATTAGAGATTTTCTAGGGTTCTTTT